TTGGAGGGAAAGGGATTTTTATGTAAGTCGGACAAATCTTGGCTGGAACCTGAGAAACTCTGCCAATTGGTGGCCTAATAGGGCTGGCTTAAGTTACCATTAAAACTGAAGTTAATTTGTTCATATTATAATTACTGTCATCAATAAAGAATCTCAGAACCAAAACCAGGATTAGGCGATTGGCTCCTTGTTACTGAAACCACTAATTTCCTTGGTTGAGTTGAGTCCATTGTTTTACAAGCAATTAAGTCATGTGAATGACAATATTGACTCTGTATTTAGCGTGGTGTTCATGCATCAAGCACACAACCTGCCATGTAATTTGTGATAAGGAATCTGGCGGAGAGAAAGAAGAAGAAGAAAAGAAAGAGAGAAAGAAGAAGAAAAAAGAAAGAGACAAGCGAAGAAAATATAAAATATATATATATATATTAATTTTAGATTGATTTGACGATTATATCCCTAGATTTAACAGTTTTTTTGACAGAGGGACTATTTAAGAGCACCTATATTAACGTTAGGGACCATGAGTGATACAAAAAAACTTTAAGGATGCAATCTGATAGTTTCGCAACGTTTTGTGATAAAAAGCCAAGATAGAATTGTGATTTTTTAAATTTTCATGGTGGGTTGGGAAATAAGACAAATAGGTGGAAATAGTAGCACTCAAAGAAAATAACATAAAAGATTCTAGAATCCACCTCCCACCCCGACCTAATCCTCTACACCACAACCGCATTGCCTCCCCTTGTTGCCTCTCTCTCTCTCTCTCTCTCTGGGTTTTATTGGCTTTATACTTTGTTCTGTGCTTAGAAAACCCTAAACATGGAGTACTTTTTCAGGTATGCGCTGACATTTCATTCAATTCAAGCTATGTGCCACTAGTTTTACTTCCCTTAACTAAACCCATTTTCCTAAAATGTCAAACTCCAACCCCAAAAACTAACCACGTCCGGGTCAATGGCCTCCTGCTCCGGATTCCGCTCTAAGTTCTCTCGCGAGACCAATGTCAGGGATTCGGTCAGATATTGTTGCTGTCGCCCCGAGAGCCAAAAGCCGAGCTTGATCTTGAAGCTAGACTGGCCCGACCTCAACCGTTTCCGAATGGCGTGCTCGAGGGGTAGGTGGCTGCACTGAAATGGTGAGAAGATGATTGAGTTATGATTAAGTAGTTGAAGTGAGTGAGAAGGACCCCACATAGAGAGAGAGAGAGAGAGAGATGGGGTAGTGGGCAACAACACGAGGCCGACGGGTCGGGTTGGTGGTGGCTCTTCTTTGTGAAACTTTTTATTTTATTATTTTATTTTCTTAGTTTGATTCAAAATATAATAATTAAATACTAAGTCCAGCTGTAAAAAAAGACCTATTGTTTTTTAAAAAATGACACATGGCATATTTTCAATGAGAGTATCACAATCTGAAGTGGTAGTACAGTACTACTCTATAATTTCTCCAATACCACTTCTTCCCTAAGGAGTCCTATTACTGAAAAATCGGGAGTGTGATTCCTGATTTTAGGGGGGCACTATATGTGTCTCTTGATTCCCAAAGTGTTAGTAACTTGGAATAAGAGTGACTACCTTTCCTTCCAATCCTATTCCAGGTTAGTAAACATGCGCCTGCCTTCAAATCCCATTCCATGTTAATAAACATGAGCCCTAATGATGTTCCTAGGCCTTGGGCTACTTGATCTAGCCGAATGGATTTATATTGTCCCTATATGTTCCGTTATTTCATGGGATTTGAGCTCCGTTGTAAACCTCGGGACGAAAAAAAAAATGGATATGTCAAATAACACACATCAAATTTGAATTTGATAGCTTACATGACAACTTGATATTTTGTCAATTTAATTTTGCAAGCAAAAAATTAAAGCCTCAAAGCTTGAAAAACAAGATGCTCATATTTCAAAAGAATTTAATTAGTATTTTATTGTGCATTGCAGATGGGGAATTAAAATCTAAAATGGAAAAATAACTTCTAAGAGCATCTCCAAGGGAGATGTCAAATACCAAACATCAAATTTAAATTTGATGGCTGATGTGGCAATTTGACATCTTACACAGCTTTACACTCCACCCGATATGTCAAATTAAATTATTATTTTATTACGTTTTAGTGTTGATTTATTATTAATTAAAAAAGAAAAGAAAATAATAAAATAATAAAATATTCATTTGACATCTTGCTTTTGGGATGTCAAAAATAACATCTCAACCTCCAGCCTTCATTCCACATCAGCTTTAACACATCAATTGGAGTGATATGAGATGTTATTTCTAGCCGTTAAATGTCTATGTGGCACTTTTGACACATCGGTTGGAGATGCTCTAACAAAAGAAGCCCAAATCTTTCTATTATATAAAAAGCCTAAGTCTGAGCAAGGAAAAAAGTTTTTAAAGAATTTTTAAAAAAGTAACGCTATGAAGACTTTAAAAATAGTAACGCTATGAAGACTTTAAAATAAGTGGGACTCCGCCAATGGGTTCCCATCACAATCCACTCCCCCATGGAAATCCCAGGGGTTTCGTTCCTCTAATGTAACAAAATAATAATAAGTGGGACTCCTCTATTAAAATAATCAAAAATTTCAAAATAACGCATGAGTTTGAAAGCGTCATTTTACATTGCTCTCAGAATAACGTCAATCGGAGAAATTTGTGTATGTAGTTGGTGTACCATTCAATATACATAGGATATGTTGAAATATTTTACTTTTAAGTCCTATGTATATTGGAGAATATTTTCACATGTCTCATGTGTATTAGATGGTACATTAGCTAGCTGATGTACCCAGAACATACAAAAATTACTCCGTCAATTGTTACAATTTTTTCGACAAAAAAAAAAGTTACCATTTCTTGTCCCCTTGGCAAATAACATATCCTTTTAGTAGAGGTGTCAAATGGATCGACCCAGCTCAAGCACAGCACGAGCACAACCCGTTTAATTAAGGCCCGACACGATATGACCCATATTTTTTAGGGGGCCGGGACGAGGGTTGGGTTGGACCGTTACCCGTCACAAGCCATGTTGGCCCGAAACCCAATAGGCCGGCCTATTTAAAGCCCATTTATTAAACTAAATTTGTTTTAGAGAAAAATAATACATAATATTATTAGATTTATATCTTAAATTCAACCATATTTATTTTCTCTCATAATATATATTAAAATTTAATGTTTTAGTTATATATAAAATAATGATTTTGTTTTTAAAGTTTCAATTTTGTAAAATTCAAACAATAATCTAGTCATTTTATATTTAAATGTACTTTAAATAAAGTTATTGACCTCTTTTTTCACCAAATAATAATTTTTGTTGGTATATACATTATTGTAAAAATATTTAAATGAAGTTGTAAAAAAAAATGTAATACATAAGTTAAATTTAGTGGCGTCCTATATCGGCCCATTTAATGGCCCAGCATGATCACAATCTGAGCCTATATGAGCTAGGGCTGTGATCTCGAACCAAAATTAATGATTTTCATAAATGAACGGACCCATTTATTTATTAAATGAGCCGGTTTGACACTTATACCTTTTTGAGGAAGGGAGATGCTCTAATTGGATAAGCAGATAGTGTCCGACCCAACAGCCCACGCAGAGTGAGGAGGTGATTTTGTAATTCTAATGAACATCGCGGACAAGAGATGAAATGCATCCATAAACCCTAATTTATGCTCCTATATAAAATCAACCACAAAGAACTATGCAGCTGCTCAACGTCTTTCATCTCTTTGCAACTTTTCTTTATGAAATTTTTGCGTTATAAGATCTTAAGAGTCTTATTGTTGGTATTTTTTGGTTTTCTTTGAATAGGAATTGCAGAAGGCATCTACTATGAACCTCTCTGCCCTTCTTTGTAGCCTAGAGACTACGAAACGATGCGAAATCAAATCCGAAAGGATTGGTACTTCTGGACTGGCAGGCTCTCATACTCTATTGGGTTCTGACCTTTTCTCGTAAGTCCCACAATTTTCTCATCTCCCAAACACCCACATACCACTCTCTTTTGCTCGATGATGATTTCATTTGCTTTAACCACACCGAACTGAGAATTGAAGGGTTGGATTTACCCTCTTCTGATTTAAGTCAGGTAGATCAATGGCGGTGCTTCCTGTACTTGGTATTGCCTAATGACTCTGTTGTCTAAGAGTGGTGGTTGATATTTTTTTTATCTGACTCTTTCTTTTAGGGAAGAGAAGAAGGCTTTGCCAAGCATGTGAAGCCCTCCTGTTATTCTCTTGGCTTAAATCTTGAGATGGTTTTGCCCAACTCTTTTTATGTTCTCTTATGTGGAAAACTGTGGCCCTTGACTGAGAGCAACCAATCACCATTTCTATGCTAATTTTTGTTGTTGGGATTTTCTTTTGGGTTTTGGGCCCTGAATTTTATCATGAAGGTTTTAAATTGTTTTACATTTGGATGAGTAATTCAATTGCCTCATATTGTACATTGGATTTTATATTTGGCATGGATTTTGGGGAATGATGATTAAACTGTGACATAGGCTTCTGCTATGCTGAGTTATGTTTTGCACGTCAGTCTGATCCCAAATTCTCAGTTTTAAAAAAAAGTGATTTGTGATTGCAAGTTTGGCAGTTAATTACCAGAATTCGTTGCGATTGTCTTATGGAAAAAAAAACTAGGCTTATTTGATTGGGGCAACTTGATATTTGTTATGGTTATTTGTATTGTGTCTTTTCCTTCTGTTAAAGGACATGTATACTAATTGTTTTGTGTAAATTACTTTTTTTTTTCCCTCTGAGAAGAGATTTACAATAAGATATTCACCATAGTTAATTTGGACCTATAAAGAACCGTATTGTATAACCAACATGAACATGGTGGACATGATTTTGGGCAAACAGATGCCTTTTTGCATCAATGTGCCGATTTAGAAACTCTCTGAGTTAGTGTGAATCCCTTGGTACATTATTGCCATACTGAGGTCTATACTACTAGCAATATATGCTTTAGCATGAAGGATGCTACTCAGTGTGAAGGTGCCGGTGCAAGGGAAGGGGGCTGAGGAAATAGTCTTGAGAAGAGTTTATCAGCAAGAACTGCGTTTGCTGCATCTGAAGGGTGGAATGCATCCCAGAATACGTAGTCTTTCCGGTTTTTACACATTTTAGAATTAGGCAAGCATAGCCCTCCGAGTGATGTGTCCACATTGCAACACGATGTATTAGAAACCTTGAAACCTGAAAGACAATGGATCGATTTGTATATGTTGTAAATTAATTTTTTCTGTAATTAATCTACCATTGAATATTTCTGTTTAATTTACCATATGCAGTAGGGTTGTTGATCAAGTCAAAAACATCTCCGTATGTATCTGCAAATGAGAGTTTTGCTTTTGGGAGGCGCCTGTTGAGAGTGGCAACGAGCTTTTGTACTTTGGAGTTGAATTCTAGCACCCACTCATTCACTCGCTTTAAGCATTGTCCTGTCTTTGATTTCACCCGCTGAGAAGGAATGCAGCCAAGGGGGCCGAGACCATGGAAGACCATCTTTCGAGCACCGAGTTGGTAGAGCCTCTTAACACAAACAATTAGGATAATGAACAGAAGTTTTCTGGTTCTCCAAAATGTGGAATGTTGTAAACATAAACCAGAAACTGAGGAAGAAGAAGAGAAATATTACTAACCGTAAATTGCCCCTCTAATGTGGTGATTAATAGTTCCACAAATTCATCGTAAGTGTACTGCTCCAATGGTCCTTCCATTAGTGAACCTCCCAGTAGCTTGACCACCAGCATAATCCACCCCATACCATGGATAATTTGACTTGGCAAGAGAATACTGCAGATAATTGTTGTTCCCTACTTCTGTTAACGAATCACCGAAGACGAATGTCACGGGAGATGCTGCCGATGAAGCCACTGCTGCCATGGTTGTGAAAATGGTGATGGCTAAAACAATCCCCAACATTACTTCCATCTTTGAGAGAGTCTCTCACTCTTGTTAGTAAATAAAGTGGCAGTCTGTGAGGAGAATTTATAGTAACTTCAGAGGCAGAACATGGCCTTTTCCCTTTTCAGTGATGTCTAATTCCCTCAAGTTTGCACATATTAGGTGATTGATAATCCAAAACCATGGGAAACACTTGTTGTGTGAATGAGCTCAATTTTCTGAGTATTTGATTTGGTGGTTAGTGTATAATCTTCAGGGGTTGGCCAACTCAGCTGCTTTAAGTCAGCACCAATTTGATTTGGTTTGGTGTTTCCTTCAGGGTGGCTGTGAATATCATTCCAATTGCCTAGTTTAGTCAATGCTCCTGGTAAAGATACAAATAAGAAACCTCAAAGCAGAGAGCAAGTGAATTTGGAGACCCTTGCACTCTTCTCTTAACCATTTGCACTAAAAAATAAGGATTTTATATATTTTTTTATGCACTCACAAAGAGTGCATATATGAATGTTTGATTCTGGCAGGAAATGCAAACGAAAACCTGATCAGCTTTACTCATAAATTCTCAATAACTTGTAAGGGGCTTATATGGTTAAGAGCATTTACCTCTACACCCGAGATCCTCAATTCGATTTCCTCCCTCCCCAATTTGGTTTTTATAAAAAAAAAAATTATCAATAATTTAGCAATAAAAAATAGTTTAACCAACACCTCTTCACTTTATTTTTATTATTATTATATATATTTTTAATCAAAGGGAAGGATATGGGTTTAGCCTTTGGCGACAATTAGAAGATATGCTAGCATGTCATATCTAGAGAACATAGAATAGACAGAAACTAACTATGTTTGGCTTCGAGAACAATCGATGAATCATAATATTCCCACGTAAATGAGTTGTTGTTGAACGTACCACTTCCAAAAGCTATACACTTTCCAAGAGTTTCAAGAAACCTATAACTATCCCGTTGAACAAACAATCTAGAAATATATATATATATCATTCCATGACTATAAGCATTCGTCACAACAAATTTCAACCACAACCTTAACAAATATCCTTTAGGCTTTTTATTAAGATACGTTTCCAGTGATTCTCACATGACCATACCATACCACAATGATCATTTTTTTAATTTATAGGAAAAAAAATTGCAATTAAAAATCACTTTTCAAGAGGGAAGCTCGAACTTGAGTGCAGGATGGCGGGCGCTCACTACCCTACCCAACTATCCCACCTACATATGCTCCTCTATTGTAGATTTATTGAGGGAAAACCGAATAATATTTCATGCGAATTTCTTTAGCATGTTTTAGGTAGCAACGGCCAAAAATTCAAAATTTTGAATTCAAATTCATGGCTGTTGCATAAAATTCATATTTCCTGATAGTTTTATGTTTTAACATTTGTTTCTTTGTGTCTAGAATTGGTAATATTCTTTATTTAAATTTAACTAAAAATAAGAAAGGTTAATTATGAAATAATGAAATTTGAAGGATGAGTTAGAGTAAGAAATTTGTTCTGCCACCGAGATTTGTAAAGTAGAAATAGAAAATTGAGGCATGGTTGGAGATTCTACCCAAAAATGAGAATATCTTCTTTTCTTTTTCTTCAAAAGTATGACTCATCAATCAGTGATGAGATGCCATTCACATTTATTTATTTTGTTAATGTGATCTTACATCCCTTTTTCCTTTTTCTTTGGTAGGGTGTAAGTACAGAGTACTAAATTGTAATTAACCCTAAATATTAATCACGGCTTAGCTTACGTGTCCTGCCATTTGAATTATTTTTTGGTTTTTCAGAAGCGAAAAAAAGACACAAACGCATGTTAGCGATTGCCTAAGCCTTAAGACACGCACCCATTTCTCACTGTTTCACTGTCTCTCCCGCGTGAAATCCTCCATCGTCAAAATCTCATGAGCTCACAAAATTAATCGCAGACAAAACACAAAACCCACTTCACCAAATCTTCAACCTTGCCAGCTCAGCAGAGCAATGTCGGTGGCGTGCGGCATGGAGTGCGTGGTGATGGTGGGCTGTATGCGCTGGGTGTGGCGGCGCTGCACCTACATCGGCGCCGACGACAGCGCCACGTGGACCTCCGCCACTCCCCACGAGTTCGACCCCGTCCCCCGCATCTGCCGCTTGATCCTCGCCGTCTACGAGCCAGATCTCCACCACCCCCACTTCATCCCCACCGTCGGATTCCGCCCCAACCCCGACTGGGTCGTCAGGCGAGTCACCTACGAGCAGACCCACGGCCACGCGCCGCCCTACCTCATCTACGTCGACCACGACCACAAGGAGCTCGTCCTCGCTATCCGAGGCCTCAATTTGGCCAAAGAGAGCGACTACAAGCTCCTGCTCAACAACAAGCTCGGAATGCAGATGTTCGATGGCGGGTACGTGCACCATGGCCTGTTGAAGTCGGCGATTTGGCTGCTCAACGAAGAAGGCGAGACTTTGAAGCGGCTGTGGCTCGAGAACGGCTCTAATTACGACATGGTGTTTGCCGGCCACTCTTTGGGGTCTGGTGTGGCGGCTCTGTTGACTGTGATTGTGGTGAACCACAGGGACAGGCTGGGTGGGATCCCCAGGAGCAAGGTCAGGTGCTACGCGCTCGCTCCGGCGCGTTGTATGTCGTTGAATTTGGCCGTCAAGTATGCCGATGTTATATACTCTGTGGTTTTGCAGGTGGGTTTGTGGAGTTTTTGTCATTTGTGTTTGTTGAATGTGTTTTGTTTTTGTTTTGTAGATGTTTGTTATGGTTTTCTTGACTTGTGGGGTTGGTGATTGTGTTTTGTAGGATGATTTCTTGCCAAGAACTGCCACCCCCTTGGAGGATATTTTCAAGTCAATTTTTTGGTTGGTATTCTTTGAATACTGTATATTTTAATCTTATAATGTGACAAAAAAGAAAAACAAATATAATTAGCATTGTAGATTTAGTGGAGTGAATTACTAAGTAAGACTTTTGTGCTTTTGGACAGCTTGCCCTGCTTGTTATTTTTGGTTTGTTTGAGAGATACCTTCATACCAGAAGGTAGAAAGCTTAGAGATCCCAGAAGGCTTTATGCACCCGGCCGGATTTATCATATTGTAGAGCGCAAATTTTGCAGGTACCGCACCATGATCCTCACATTCTTATCATATTTTTTTCTTTGTTTATTGCATGATGCTAAAAATGTTGCCAAATTCTCATCGGAAATGAAACTTCCATTCCATTCAGTACTTATGGAGCCAATGGTAATGACCTTATTTGCAGATCCAGAGTGAATGTAATTTGCCTTATTTGCATCCTTAGCGTAGCATAGAAATTGTCACAGCTCTGTAATTCCTATACTTGGATAAAGTGAGGCATTCCCTCTTTAGGTTCTATCTAGGATGCTTAGTGCCTTTTCACGTGCATGGTCTATCTCACGAGAACATTAGTCTTTAGACTCATAGAGGCTTTGAAATCAATATCAGATTGTAAACTGGAACCAGATTTTTCTTAAATGGTAGAGTCTCAGTCAACGTCCTAGAGTTTTTTTAATTATTTTTATTTCTTATATGTGAAGTTCAAATCAAAGTGGGGGTGTGTTGGGCAACTTTAAATGCTGATTTTGGTTCATAGATTTCTTATATTGATACTTCTAGTACTATCTTAAGCCACTGGTTGTTTTCTGCTTTTGCCCCCTTTTCAGCTACAAAATAAAAATAGCTTTTCTGACTCTTAAATGATGCAATACCCTTCTTTTATGTCTCATAGGAGATGAGGAAGAAAAAAGGAAAATGCAATGATAGTACTTTGATCTGTCATGATGCTGCAATATTTTTTGTTATAAAAAATATTACCACTCAAAGCTTCTTTTTGTTGGCACTCTATGTAGGAGTATGTTTTGGTAATTATGATGAACTGTTGGCTTATCTATAACCGTGTTTGCATTTCCGGAAAAAATCCATTATAAACACCAACTATGAAGCTGGATTTTATACCTTACTTTGAATCGAGCAAATCTTCCTAATACTCATTTGCAAAGTTTTAAATTTAGAACAACTCTGTATGTATTGAAGGGCTTTTCTATGTGGGTTTGTGGGTGTGTGTGTATATGTATGTTAAACTAGTGTGAAGTCTACTTTTTTTATAAGACATTAATGTCATATTGCAACCAAAATTGTTGTGTTCATCCGATGATTGAGTTCCTCACCTCTTGGTATACCAGATGTGGGAGGTATCCTCCAGAAGTCCGAACTGCCATTCCTGTTGATGGGAGATTTGAACATATTGTCTTGTCATGCAACGCCACATCTGATCATGGAATTATCTGGATAGAAAGGGAAGCAGACAAGGCTTTACAAGTAAGTGGAGCATAACTTTCAACCTTTTACAATCATTATCTTCTCTGTTCTCCTTAGATTGCCGTGAATTAACATTGTTGATAAATAAAGTAACATTCATGTTCCAAATCTTACCATCTACTGATATTTTTGGTAGTTTCTTTTATTATTATTTTGGATAAGCATTATTTTGGGAACTGTTGGTGCAAAATCTACAATAGAACTATACAATACAACCATAATGCCTTGGGAAGGTAGCTTGAAAGTTTTGTTCCTATCTTTTTGCTGTGTTAAAACAAATTAAACATGCTTCTAGCTCAATGAAGATTCTGTGATTTGCACAGGAATGTAAAGAATATAAACATTCTCTTTATTCTCCTCCTCAAAGCCTCAAACTAACATCATCCCTAAGTTAGCCCTCTATAAGTGTTTATTAACTATCAGAAGGGTCCTAATGTTTGCAACTTTCTTGTATGGACTAAACCCATGTGGTGGATGCGTGTGCCTTAAGACTGTCTTTGGTTGTTGGAAACTGGACAAGATGTAAAGGAAAGAAGGGGTTATGCTAGTTTAAGCAGAAGATAGTCTTAGAGACCATCTTTGGTCTGATCACTCTTGCCTTCTTGGCAATTCAGATTTTGATATTGTGCCTTCATTTACTCCAACTGCTCGAGCAAAACGCTTTCACTTTCCTTTCCCTATAATTTGTTTCC